TTGCCTTCAAAATAGACTTCGGCGGCGGAACCGGCGCTCCCGACGGCCTCTATTTGGGCGCCAATCAAAGCGCTCAGAATAGCGGCGGTCAACAAATGCGGACCTATATCTTGGGAACCGATTCGCAGCAAGACATGGAGTCGTGGATGAAAGCGTTGAGTTGCGCCTCATATGACTACTTGAAGATGATTGTGGCAGAACTCCAGACCAGACTCGACGACATTAATAAACTACAGGACTCGCGACTCCAGCGTCAGAGAGATAGCGCGTCGGGTGCCAGCGGTAGTGGCGGTCATTTGAGCGCTCGATCCAATCCGTTTGACACGGAAGCGCTGGATCTAATGGATGTGAGGCCGGGCGCGAGTATTATCGGCCAATCGTCGGCCGATAATTGCATTCAATTCACGCGCCGAGCGTTCGCTGAGATTCACGAATTTCATGGCATTAAATTCCGGGAATATATTCAACAAAACAGAGACAAACATAAACCAAATGTCATATGAAGAATACGGCAGCACTTAATCCCTATCCAAGAGATTAAAATGAACCAAAAATCCCATTAAAACTTATAGTATTATATTCAGAGTTTTGATTACATTTTCGTACATTTGATTGCAAAATATGATTAATTAAATGATAAATTTGTATACGAATTGAAGAATAAATTTTATGAAATGATTTTTATTTAACTTAAAAATAATTTGAGTTTTGTTTGAATCGATTTGTTTTATCGCTTATAAATCCAATGGCATTCAACATACGTCGAGTGCCACTGATTTTAATATCAATGTTTGTCTCATATAATAAGTGTCGTAATAATAATAATAATAATCCCAACTATTATTTAAAGATTTTTATGTTATATTTTATATTTACAAAAATTTTCAATTAAAATGTTTTTCAATAATAATAAGAATAATAATACAGTAATTATTATCAATAAATTCTATGGAAAAATGTTTTTTGCTTTGTTTTTTCCAATTAGAGTTTACATGTATTTTATGTTTTGTGTAGTTTTTGAAAAATGCATTTTTATTTATATAATTGTATCAATCTTTCCATTTCTGTTTTGTAATTATGTATAATATTTATATAATGTATATATAATTTGTATTTACAAAATACATAGATTTATGCCAAATATTGGGTGCAATTTGGCCTTACGTTTAGATTTCGGTGCAAAATACCAAACAATTGTATTGACAAATATATATATTAATCGGTAATTTATATGTCGTATAAATCGTTCGTTTGCTTCTTATAATTAATCCTAAAATTTAAAACTAAACATTCATTTTCTCTTTTATAGGCATTTATTTATATAATATGTATATATTTATAGGAATTATCCTTTCGGAGGGGGAGAGGAGGGGATCGGGAGGTGTGGGCCGCGCGCACCCGTACAGGCCGTACAGGTGTGTCCGCCCTATAAACTAAAAGCCTATTTTCTTTAAAAAACAACAAATATATTAAAACTTTGTTTATTTCTCTTTTCTTTTTTTCCAATGAAATATGTGTAGCGTTTTGGCAGTGGATAAGGAAGTCGTATCGAAATACATGATCAATTTGAATGTAAATATAGTTTTCTGTTATGTATATGTATTTATATCCGGATGTTTTTGTTTTGTCACTAAATTCGTGATTCAATTAAATCAATGAATTTGTTTTTTGTTATAATGTGTACGAAAAAATTTGTTAACAGTTTTGTTATATTATATTATCTAAGAAAGAGAGAGAAAGTGTGTGTCTGTAATAAGTGTGTAATTTATAATACAATTGAGAGGTTTGTGTGTCTGTTGTGTGGATGTATTCAACCATTCCTTGTTTTTAGTGATGAAACTCTGCCTTTACTACCAATTTGTATGAAAAAATGCAATACATTATTGCAATACCAGTATTACAATTGTTTTGTTTTATATCAGCTATTTATACAATTCATTTGTTTTGTTTCATAATTAACTATAACTACAATGAGTCCTAATAATAATAATAATTAATAGCAATAATTATAATAATAATTAATTTTAGCCTTTTTCTGTACAATTTAAAAAAGGGAATATTGAATATAAACTTATAATTCATTTAAATATAGTTTGTTTTTTGTTTGAGAAAAATATAAAATATAAACTAATATATAAATGATTCGTTAGTTTTGTTGTCTTTAATATTAAATCTCATGTTAATCACTGATTAGGAGTGAAGCCCTCAAATCATATAATAATAATAATTCAATTAATTAATCAATAAATATTTACAAATAAATTATTTTTTCGTTTTAATAATAATAATATAATTATCTTTTAAACTCACAATTAAAACAAACGGAAAATTTTAATTAACTATAAACGAAACGAACGATTAATTAAAGTAAGAAATTCCGTGAAAAAGGAGGAGAAATGACTGTCGGTTTTGGAATCGGGTTTTGTTTTGTATTTTTTTCTCACATCAACTCAAAACTCCTTAACCTAACTGTTCATCATTTTGTATATAAATATATGTATCCAATGATCGCAAAAAATCTCAACAATTAATTACAATGTGTTTTAAATAATCGGTTGCTTTTTGTCGGAAACAACAAACACAACAACTCAAGAGTCCAGAAGAGAGAGAAGGCGTTCGTTAGACTGACTGCGAGTTTTGGTCCGTGTGTTCAAAGACAGACAGAGAGAGGAGGAGTTATCGTATGTTATGTTAGAGCGGATAGAGTGGTAGAGTTGATGTCTGTATGTGTTTGTGAAGGGATTGGCAAATGAGTGCACTATTAAACCAAAGCCTGGACACTGTGGTAGAGCTGCATCAGGAGTTGTATATGTATTGGAAGGCAAGACGTCCGGTCATGTGTTGACGGGTCGACCGAAAGCCACGACAATGCGTTATAGCCTTCGAGGACACACCTGTTGTGGTTCGGGGAATGCATACAAACATTAGACACACATCTCATTATATTAACACTCATCTCAAGAGTCATACCTCAAGACATCGGTCGTCAGATTGGAGTCGAGTGAATGATAGTTACGAATGTTTGAGTGCAATAAGTCATCTGAGTTTTGCTGCACTGATGGCGTGTGTATGAGAAGAGCCGACTGTGACAATAGGATATACCATACGAACGGTTAGATTCAACTCTTTTTCGCGTAAATATATTTTTCAATGCAATAAATCATTCAAACCTTTAAAAATACGGGACACGAGCTCTCCATATGAGGACACGACGACCAGAACCAACGCGGCAGTGGACCGGTTCGGGCGGTGGACACGTAGTAGGCGAGCGCGAGGGGCTGTTGCAAGAGTTGTGCCGGCTCGTCCTGCATGTCTACACTGAAGTTGTTGGATGTCTGGAAACGAGACAAACGTTAGATTTTAAACATTCAAAAACTAAAACAATAAACAATTATATGATAATCCATGCCTTCATAGAACCGGACCCTCCAAAGCCCGCCTGACGATTGCCGGGACTGTCGGGATGTGAGACACCGTCCATTTGGCCGAGGCCTGGAGAGCCCGGACCGGGACTGTCTGTCCACTGGAATATATCGTTAACATTGATGTCGTCCTCAACGGCTTCGTCTAAGGCCTGGAGTAAGTCGTCTTCGCCTATATTGGCGCCCAACGGACCCAACGGGTCGATAGAGAAGCTTCCGTGAGCTGATTGGGTGGTCGCAGACGTCGGGAACACCAGAATGTGTGTACAGGAAGCGTCTTCTGGTGTACTAAGGCTACAGGTATTGCACGAACTGCTGAACCTCTCGTCGGGCGTGTAGTGATCGGGAAACACTCGGAGAGCGGTGTCGGCCTCCAGTGATATGAGACACGCGGAGAAGATGGCCGGTTGATCGAAGGCTGTCAGGTATGAACACTGACTGCACATCTCACGCAACTGTCGACTATAGCGGAGCAGCGATTTCTTGCTCAACAGAGACGCCCAGTCCTTGAGCTCTCCGTGTCCTATACGGCCCAGTCGTCCGATGACGAGCCTCCAGGGCGTCACCGACTCAGACATCACTGTCTGCACGAATCGCATCAACTTATCCAAACCGAAACGCCGTACGGACGCCTTCCGTCGCCGCGTTCTGTTCGGTATATCAATGTTTATGGAAGTGGTCTCCAGAATGTCTCCCTTATCGTTAGTACACGACGCCAGAAGCCATCGCTGGTCTTCAGTCAGACAATAGCAACAGAATAAGAGTTGAGATTTCTCTCGCCGGTCGCCAAACATCTCTCCCAACTCTGTTTGCTTGTCCTTAAGCGGCGCCAAAATGAATGGCGGCGTATATATACGGCTCAGTTTAGTGGCCGGATCTTTGCTTTTGAGGAACAGCTCAAACATAGCCGCCGGTCCGAAACCAGTCAGACTCTTGACTCCCGCCAAATTCACCATTTGTTGTCGACACTGCGAGAACACAGACAGAGCTAACTCTTTGAGCTGATCCTGTCGTGACGTTCCGTTCGGGTCTTTGTCGTAAGAGAGCAATGATTCCAATGATATTAACTGCAGATGAATATTATTCTTGAGAGGGTCGGGAAGGAATCGGAGTATTTCGGTATAACACCGGAGAAGACCGACACTCGACAGGCGGTACAGGTCTTTGTCGTTGGAGCCGAAAGTGAACGGTTCTATAATATAGACGATAATCATTGGCTGTTTGTGTGGATTCTCGTCCTGATCCGCGTCCGGCTGTTGCTGAGGATTCGTTGAGTACTGACCGCTCGCGTCGTTTTGGTTCTCATCGTTAACTAACTTCTCAGCGGAAGTGTTGGCGTCGGTGTTAGGCATCGGGGAGTTGCTGTTCGGCTTACTGTTGACACTGTTGGGGCCGCTAATACCGGCGGCGCTGCTGTTGTTTTGGCTGCCATTCGTTGCATTTGTACTATCGGTTGACTGTTTTGTTTCAAACAATGATTTGTCCAGTGTTTGAGTGCTTAGATGAGGGGCCAGATTGTGACGACACGCCTGAGCGTACATTCGCAGCTTAGAGGCCACGGATCCGTCGCCAATCTGGTTGAACCAGTCGTCGATCGGCAAGTCGTTCAACTTCTTTGCCGATCGGGTGCCCACTCGGAGGATACCGTCGCGAAGCACTTTAGAGATGGGCGAGTGTTTGCCCAGTCGTAGCATTTCGTAAGTAGTGCTCAACTCTTTGAAGAATGTCTTGACGTGCGATACTATGAAATCGGTTTCGGGCGACACCACGACGTAACCAATGTCTCTGGTCATGGAATACGGCTCGAGTGACAGTTTTTCCCANCAGTCGTAGCATTTCGTAAGTAGTGCTCAACTCTTTGAAGAATGTCTTGACGTGCGATACTATGAAATCGGTTTCGGGCGACACCACGACGTAACCAATGTCTCTGGTCATGGAATACGGCTCGAGTGACAGTTTTTCCCAGTACTTGAGCGCAAACGGCGAGAGCGCCACACAGTCCTTGTCGTAACCGACGAGCAGTGATGGGATGGGTTGCGGTTCGCACTGGTCTTCGGTGCCACGACCGGCCAATCGGTGAAACTGGCGCCACGTTAGCGGTCCGGACACAGTGTACGTCACTTCCCACATCTTCGTCTTCTTTCTCTGCACCGATTCCTGCATTAATGGCTGTAATTGTCTTAAGAGATGAATCACTTCTAGATTGTTGACCGGGAATCGAGTCATCCGATGGGACCACTCGTGTAATGGGTTTTGGCCATGACTTTGATCGCCGGCAAAGTTCTGAAGCATCATATGATTGTTCGGCATATTATCTGTGGACAACTTGGAGGTCGAGAGAGCGGTTCTCGCCATTTGCACGCCGTCTCTGAAGCTAAGTATTGACGGATTCCGCCATCGATTGGTTAATTCATTTGATTTGTTGGTCAACGAAACCATTTCGCTGTTATAGAGATGACTATTGAGTCGATCAGTGATCACATCGAAGTGAACCGCTTTCGAGAGCACAGAACACGAAGAGAACACATTCGTTGACTGAGTGATGATTAAATCGATTATTGTTTGATCCAATTCCACGTTCTCCTTGTTTTCGGTTCCGTTCTCTTCGGAGACCGTCGGCGACGACTCGATGGCCGCCAAACTCTTCTTCTTGAGGCCATCGCACGGGTCGTATATAAGGCCAGTGATCTCCACTTCGTCCTCATAGAAGAGACCGGCGAAGTAACTCCTGTGCCGATTGACAACAGCGCTGAAACCGCAATTGCATCGATACTGGGGCTCATCATAACCAGGGGGTGCTGTCTCGGGCAGATAGACGCCGACGTCATTGCCTTTGATGTTCATATTACAGACACAGAGAGAACAGCTCTCAAAGTTATGATCTTTGAACAGATTCAATATGGAATCAGAGAGCAGTAGATTGATGGCCAAACTGTGCGCTTCTGGTATTGAGGGCACCGGTATGTTGTTATCTTGTGGTATATTATGGTTGCGAGACATGTATGGGTTTTGTTGCAACTGTTGGTTGTAATGCATGGCCGGTATGGGACTCGTCGACGGGTGAGGGCTTCGATGGTTAGCGGCGTACGGATGGCTAGCGTTTCCGTAGTAGCTCTGAGGGCCCGAAGCGTTAGTATCGGCGTTATAATTGGGGTGATAATGAGGTAGCGGTGATTGTGTGACATCCATATGCGGTGTCATATTATTATACATCGATTGTTGGTGTGATTGCGAGTGAATGTGTGGCGACATGTGTTGAACACCGTTGGGCGCCGACATCTGTTGCTGGTATTGGTTGGGCACCGGAGACATGTTTGGCCGCATTCGCATCTGCGTGTAAGCGGGCCCTCCCATGCGTGACATCGGGTGCGACATAAAGTTGGCCGCGTTTTGCTTAAGTGGCGTCAAGTGATTGTAAGAATTGGATTTAAGCTGTATTTGATTCATCATTGGTTTGGTTGTGCCGGACATTTGCGGGCCGTTCGGGTTGACAGCGGCTGTCGACCCGCCGCCGGCACCGCTCGACGGGGGCAGTGGTGGCACTGTTTGCTCGTATTTACACTCTTTGGGTATTGGAATCAGGTTTGGAATATTCTGGAGCGGAGCGTATTTCGACGATGTAATCACCATGAATTGAACCGGAGGTTTGTATACGTATGACCAGTCCTTTTGTGGGCACAATGAATGCAAACATTATAAGTAAAACATTCAAAAGAGTGTCAAATGACAAGACATACCTTTGAGTTCTCCATAGGACTACACGGGTATAAACCGTTTTCGTCCATAAGTGTGGCGTCGGGTCCGATGAAGCCATTGCAAGGCGACGGAGCCGACGGCTCGAGTGATGGCGGAGTGGGAAACATACGCGTGAGTTCTGCGACGCCCAGCGCTATACTCGTCGATGTGTTGCTTTTGTTGGACGACTTGGACTGCGGTTCGTCCGAAGCACCGGTCGAACCCGTTATGGAAGTAGAGTTGGCGTTATTTGTACCGATTCTGGCGTTGGAAAGACCGGATGGCGTGAGTGGCGCCTGAAATGGCTCGTCATTGCTGTCCTCTCCGGAAGAGGTGTCAAAAATTTGATCCAAATCGCTATACGAAGCCACGAGTTCGTCTTCGCGGGTGAATACTTTGGTGGCCGCCGGCGAAGTGGCCGACATATCGGAAGTGTTTTGCTTGTCTTTGTTGGCCATCGAATTGGGATCGGGCGACGAGCCGTTGCACTCCATTCTCATTGCCATCTCATTGGACATCATCTCCTCTTTGATGCCATTGTTTTGCAACATCTTATACTCGGACTCATCGAAGTCACTGAACTCGTACGGGTCTTTCGGGTCCTTCCCTTTGAGGCCGTACTGGGAATCAGTGAACTCTCCGTTCGTCAACTGCGACGACGGACTCCGCATACGTTTCCTTCCGTTCATATAATAGTAATCATTGTTTGCATTAAAACGTCTCAAATCATTGTTATAATTAATTCTCCTATTCTTGAGCGGCGGTATATCACCGCAAATGTTGGTTAAGTCGTTCAGATGGCTGTAGTCGTACAGAAAGCCACTTCGCATATAATCCGCGTCATTGTCTTCGCAGGAATTGATCCCTAGAAGGGGTCTCTTAACACCTGTTAAACCGTTTTGCTGTTGCGATGATTGATTCGTTACGGCAGTGGACACAGGAGTCGTTGCGGAGTTGCTATTCGTTTCGGAAGCGGGTATTTGAACGGCCACTGAGTCGACGTCCGACGACTGGCCGCCGGGCGTCCACTGATTCATTTGAATGCTCGGCGAGTCGTCGGATATATTATTCGTATTGACGGAACCCTTTAGTGATTGATTGTTTGGCGACAAAAGCAAGAGTTTCTCTTTGTTGGCGCCGGACATAGGACTGGGCGTCACCGCCGACGTCATGAACTGAGAGTCGTTGCCGCCATTCGTCTGGTCGTCTTTGCAGGGGTGCGGAGACACCGATAGATTGTTTTGTTCGACCGAAGAGGTCGGTCCGTCCATAATGATTGATTGTGAGACAGAGCGCGGAGAGTCGATTCCGTTGGCACCGGTCGGTGTGGCGGCGCTCGACGACTGCAACGATGGCAGTCCTCCGCCACTGATTGGACTTTTGTATGAATAGGTGGGCACTGATGTCGGCTGCGATATAGAGCTCGAGACACTCAGATTGGTTGTGGCCGCGGATGTGGTCGGCTGTGTCGTCGGTGTGGCCACAGGCGAGGCAGTCGTGGAGCCGTTGGTCACGTCAATGGATGCGTTGAGTACAGGACTTCGGCGATGAAATGGCAGAACATTTTTCAACACTTTGCTATTATTACGGCTCTCTTTATCAGTTTTGTCTCCTTTCTTGTTGGCAGAAGTGTTTGACGATTGATTGAGATATGGATTAGAAGTGTTGAGTGCTTTGGAAGCGTTGGAGCCCTTCTTCGGGGGTTTGCATCGAAAACAGTTACAGTTATTCTTAATGCAGGGGTCGCTCACATTCCAAAGGCTCATATTATTGATGGCTTCTTCGGACAGTTCTTTGTGCTGTGCGGAACAGTTGGCGCCGTTTTGCGGCAAAAGACACAACTCTTGAGTCACACAGTGTTTTAATAAGTAAGTATGTGTTGGGATCTGTTGCTGATATGGACACAGAATGGGCTTCGGCTGACATAAGACGTCGTTGGAAACAATTTCACTAATATTTGTCACTAATTTTGTATTCATTTTACTATTGGCTAAATGTTTAGTCGTTTTCAATGGTTCGTCGATATCAGTCGTAAACACATAACAAAACGGATATTTCATACGAAAACCCGAAACAATCACTTCGACGACACGATTCATTGAATTCGACGAATTGTTCCCAAACTCATTACAGGCCATATCGGGGCCGAAGTGTTGGGACAAACTGGCGGCCGATGATTGCGAGGGACCGGAACCGCTCGCTGGCGAGTCCTTTGACGAACTCATTTGAGTCAACGGATAGAGTTGTTTCCATTCGTTCAGCACTTTCTGAGCCGTCGGGTCCGAGTCTTTGCAACTCTGACCGGTCAGCACACCGGCCAACCCATACGGGCCTAAAATCACTGTCAAAACAATAATCGAGTTAATTCTGAACCCAAAAATAAACTCCACTCAAGACATGCTATATTAGAAAGCGATCAAAACCTTTGACGCCATTCTGTGACAATTGTGCCGATTGGAGGTCAGCTTTGGTGATCCGATAGACAGTGGGGTGTTGTCTGACGTCAACATTGGCGCAGACAGTGCTGTCTCCGTGAACGAAGAAATTGAATCCAAACGTCAACTGTGTTCGAGGGGTCGTTCGCTTAGCGGAACTGTTCCGGTGATTACATGACGACAACAAACAAACAGTTAATCAACATGTTTTTCAAACGTGTAAACAAACAAAAAAACATTACTTTTTTGCGGTTTTCTCTGCGTTTTGATTATCAGCCGAACCGCCGGTAGTGGCGGTCGGCGTCTCCGTTGGCTGGAAGAACCAACGACCCAATCGTGCGAATCCACGCGATAGTAAACATCTGTGAGACAATACAGTAGACACACATCCAGTTATTATCAGTCAAAACAATGTGTAAACAAGAGATTAGACAATAAAATTTCTTCATTGACAGTACCTCTCGATTATATTATGAAAGGCTTTGAATAGTAGAGTCCGGCACTCATACGACAGACCCGTTTCCCACGAACCAGTTTCGCATTCTAGACGTACAAAATCAAAGATCAATCAATTGAAAACACAATACAATTTATAATTCATGGCATTTCTCGATACACTTGTTGTGTGTGTATATGGGAAACAAATTGGTTTCACGAGTTTTTGTTTGTTTTCATACATATGAACACAGAGTTTGTGTTGACATTAAAGTAAACATTTGATTTCAAGTACGAGAGAACTAACACTACATTTGACTTTTATATGGGACTCAACGCAGAGCTGATGGAAATGATTTTTTTATCTCAATGTAAATAATCGACACATTATTATATATAAATTACTGCTAATACTACACAACTATTAGCTAAATCACTAAATCAATCAAAATCTCTATTCAATGACCAAAAACTCAAATAAATACTATATTTTATACACAATTGTCAATTGTATTACGATTTGCGCTCATTATTAAGTAAATTGTAGCTAAAAATGTGTCAATATTTGTGCAAAAAATTTATCAAATTGTAGGGAATTTGTATAAAACGATAAAAACATTTTAGAAAATTTCCACAGAAAAATATTTCAGTTTAAAGGGGTTTATAATAATAAATAAAAACATTAAGTTATATAATCCCTATTGAATTTCATACATAACCATATAATTAAATATAAAGTATACATTAAATTACAGTAAATTCATTAAATATGGAATTCTATCGTAAATGAGAGTCAATAAAATTGATGTGTAATTAATAATATGAAAATGTTTTTTGCCAACGAATTAATGATAACAAAACTCATAATAACTAAACAAACGTAAACATAAAAATGTGATTAAATAAAAACTTTTCAAATATGAATCAAAATAAATAAGTGTATCAAATGTCAGACGAGAGAGAGAGAGAGAGAGAGAGAGAGAGAGAGAGAGAGGCGAATCCATTTAGCCATTGTCGTTAGGCTTAAGGATATTATATATATTTGAATGTATTTTTGTATTTGTGTTGAAAAGCAAATCCCACACTAAATATGGGATACAATTCCTCCGGTAAGAGAGCAATGAAAAAGGATAAGCGAAACAATCAATAAGTGGTTTCAGTCTATTTGATTGCGTAACGCATAACCATAGGGGCAGTCAATATACAGCGGTGTGTGGTTTGAGAGAATACAAGTGCTGATCGGTGTATACACTCGACAAACACTCCTCTCGACTACACTAACCATCAAAAGCGAGTCAAATATAATCAGAAACACATCGCAAGCCTTTGCCATAAATCAAGACAATTACGTCTACTTTGCTCATGTCATTACGGACAATTAATACGATTATTTAACTAAGAGAGAGAGCATGTGTTGTATAAGTTTTTCATATATGTAAATGTAGCTTTTATAATTAAATTATAAATTTTAAGTTTAAGTTATTTTTTTTGTAATGTCAAACGTTTGACATATATTAGGGATTAACATATCTATAAATATTAAAACTTTAAAAATATTTTTAAAACTAATACAACGAGAATTTAGACATGAAATTATTGTATAATAAATTCAGTCTTAAGTATTGATATTAATGTCAAAGTAAATCACTATAACATTGAATCGGAAACTATACTATATGTCCGACGAATTTAATATAAAAAGCGGTCATTATTTGAATTAAATGAAAATAATTTCAATACTAAAAATTTTAGTAAAAGCAACGATATTTCATTCGTTGCAAACGTTTTATAATTATTTTTCAAATCAAACGATTGGTGGCCCACACTATCCATATCGAGAGCCATACAGTATTAATACAAGTAATCATTATTAAGAAAAAAGCCCTCAAAAACTGGTTAAAGACAAAGATTTGTAACAAATGGTATCATTAGTTCATTGCACCGACACTTTCTCCTCCATTCAAATCGTTTGCCCATTAAATCAATTCATAATGAATTTGCTATTTATATACAATTCAATGTATTTGAAAAACATTTGTATTTAAATCTAATAATAAATAATAATAAAACGATTGAAAGATCTATAATACTGTATATTAATATCTCATAAATTAACGCTTAAAAACATAGTAATCATTGAATAGTTAACACATTAATGCCATTCAATTCAAGGCCTCTCAAAGGAATACTAGTTATAAACAAATTTTATATATTCATAGCATTTGCAAAAACATATTCTTATTTTGATTTTAAAAACAAAAAACACATTCAGTTTTGCAGTGAAAACGAGGAAAAAGTAACTGAAAAATAACTAAAATAAAACCTCAAGAAATAAACACCAATTTATTATTAGAGGCCATAATCTAGCGCTCAGACAATTCTATAACAAATTCTAAAATCCCGTACATTTAAGGCAACAAAAAGTTTCATAAGTTTCCAAACAAATTGATTGCAGAAAAGAGGAGAGATTTTCTCTGCGTTTTGATTATCAGCCGAACCGCCGGTAGTGGCGGTCGGCGTCTCCGTTGGCTGGAAGAACCAACGACCCAATCGTGCGAATCCACGCGATAGTAAACATCTGTGAGACAATACAGTACACACATCCAGTTATTATCAGTCAATACAATGTGTAAACAAGAGATTAGACAATAAAAATTCTTCATTGACAGTACCTCTCGATTATATTATGAAAGGCTTTGAATAGTAGAGTCCGGCACTCATACGACAGACCCGTTTCCCACGAACCAGTTTCGCATTCTAGACGTACGGAATCAAAGATCAATCAATTAAAAACACAATACAATTTATAATTCATGACATTTCTCGATACACTTGTTGTGTGTATAATATATGGGAAACAAATTGGTTTCACGAGTTTTTGTTTGTTTTCATTCATATGAACACAGAGTTTGTGTTGACATTAAAGTAAACATTTGATTTCAAGTACGAGAGAACTAACACTACATTTGACTTTTATATGGGACTCAACACAGAGCTGATGGAAATGATTTTTTTTATCTCAATGTAAATAATCGACACATTATTATATATAAATTACTGCTAATACTACACAACTATTAGCTAAATCACTAAATCAATCAAAATCTCTATTCAATGACCAAAAACTCAAATAAATATTATATTTTATACACTATTGTCAATTGTATTACGATTTGGGCTCATTATTAAGTAAATTGTAGCTTAAAATGTGTCAATATTTGTGCAAAAAATTTATCAAATTGTAGGGAATTTGTATAAAACGATAAAAACATTTTAGAAATTTTCCACAGAAAAATATTTCAGTTTAAAGGGGTTTATAATAATAAATAAAAACATTAAGTTATATAATCCCTATTGAATTTCATACATAACCATATAATAGAATATAAAGTATACATTAAATTACAGTAAATTCATTAAACATGGAATTCTATCGTAAATGAGAGTCAATAAAATTGATGTGTAATTAATAATATGAAAATGTTTTTTGCCAACGAATTAATGATAACAAAACTCATAATAACTAAACAAACGTAAACATAAAAATGT